CAAAAAATCAAAAGGTGAACTAACACCGTAGACCCCCTCCCCAATCACCGTTGTACTTATCTCTGTGGGTGTTTAGCTGTTACTGCCTACACAGCCGGGAGTAGCAGTCCAGTGATCTGAAAACCCCCCCTCTTCTTTCCTTAGGGTTTTCGGGACAAATCAGAGCGAATCTGATTGGTAAAAGCAGTGAAGTGCCCAAATATGAAAACTCTGATCTGTTTCAGAAGCCCTAAGAAAAGAAGGGGAAGCAGAGGGGGGCTTTCAAATTCCCAGGCTGCTGCACTGCCTGTGGGGAGTAGTGATAGCTAATCACCCATGGAGGTAAGCACATAGGGGACTGGGGCGAGGGGTATATGATGTTTGTGTCCTGGAGCTCCTGACCTTTTTGGCAGGTCTGCATCTGGGTGTCAATCCTCGGCCATTTTCCATTTTAACCAGCCCGTGATGCCATCGCTCCCATGGATATGATGCAGTTCAGTCATCTCAGCATTGGCAAATTGTTCAGCGAACTACGAATTTGCAGCTATGTGTACAGTGCAGACAGGCAGGTAAGCAACTTTAATGCAGAAGAGACATAGGGGTTGATTTACTAAAACAGGAGAGTGAAAAATCTGCTACAATTGTGCATAGAAATCAATCAGCTTCCAAGTTTTGTCAAAGCTTAACCACTTTAATACCGCACTGTAGCTGAAAAACAGTTACAGCACGGTTAAGAGAACCGTGGAACAAGAGGTTCTGGGAGGGTGTCTATAGATGTCCTCCCAGAACGTGCCTCCCGCATGACCCCTGGGGCGCGCTCTGTGACCACTGTGTGACACAGCTGATCACAGATTGCAGTAAAGGGCCAATCACAGCTGATCACATATAAACAGACTTGCTGGCTATCGGCAGTCTTTTCCTCACACGCTGCGTCTGTGTGAGGAAGAGGCAGCCAATACCCAGCAAGGCTGTCAGCACTTTACACTGATTATCAGTGCAGCCCCATCAGTGTGGTCTATCAGCGCCCATCAGTGCAGCTTACAGTGCCACCTCATCAGTGCAGCTTCATCAGCTCACATCAGTGGGGAATAAATATTACTTTTATGCAAAATGTTATAACAGAAACTGAAAAATAGGGGTTTTTTTTTTTTAAAAAGGTTTGGTCTTTTTTTGTTTAACAAAAAATAAAAAACCCAGTACGGATTAAATACCACCAAAAGAAAGCTCTATCTAAAAAAAATAACAATTTTGTTTGAGTATAGTGTTGCGTGACCATGCAATTGTCATTCAAAGTGCAACAGCACTGAAAACTAAAAAACAGCCTGGGCAGGAAGGGGGTGAAAGTGTCTGGTATTGAAGTGGTTAATTGAATAAGCTAGGTTTAGGCCTCATGTACACATGATCTCCCCTAGACGTTTCTCCCTCCTGGCAGCAGGAAAACTTTAAATGCGGCAAAAAACACGTGTAAACACGGTAGCATGTTTAGCACTTGGATGTTTATTCATTTGATTGGCCATAGTATTTTCAGTTGACATGAATAAACGCCCAAGCGCGGCTAGCATTTAGACATGATTCTGCCGTGTTTAGCGCTTTTTTGGCCAAAACGTTCCTCACCTAAAATGCGATTCTTCTGCGTTCAGGAGGAACGTTTAAGGCCTCATGTACTCTGCTGTTCCTAAACGTGAGTGCCAAAGCCCCTGAACTCTACTAAAGGCAAATAAACCGTGCACTTTGCAAAGAGCTTAGTAAATGAGCAGACACTTTGCTGGCTTCCATCAACCAGTCATGTGCAAGCAAAAATACAGTTTTTTTCTATTTTCCTTGCATGCGATTGGGTATTCTTTGCAAAGTGAATCTTTACCTCATTTACTAAGCTCTGGAGCAACTGCACTTTGCATATGCACTTTCTAGTCGCCTTTAGTTTTGGCCAAAAAACATTGAACGTGGCAAAACGCACTTATAAAATGTTTAGCGCTTGAGCGTTTATCCAGGTGAATGGAAAATACTCTGGCCAATAAAATGAATAAACATCCAAGCGGTAAACGCAGCACTATGTTTACATACATTTTGGCCACGTTTAGTGTTTTTCTGCTGCCAGAAGAGTTGAATGACTAGGTGGGTTCATGTGTACATGAGTCCCTAAACCTTTTATTGAATTGAGTTCAGGGGCTTTGGCCAAAAAACCGCCAAAAGCTCCCGTGCCCTGGGACACGCAGGGAAGAAGTTCCTGCACTACTTTGGAAATCGCAGCCCGCATGGGAACTGAGGTTCCCAGTACAGTTGCGATTTCCAGTGCGGGTGGCGTGCCATTAGAATTAATGGCACCCGCTTGTGGGTCCCGCATTTCTCTGTGTGGGTGGTGCAGCTGCAGGTATTTGTGTGGGTCCCACAGTGGCTCCACCTGCGCAGATGTGAACTGAGTATTAGAAGCAGGAGTAGGGTTGCCACCTCATCCCCTTAAAACCTAAGACATATTATTTACATATTATTTGCACAGGTTCTGAAGCTAATTTAACCGCTTCTGTGCTGCCCCATAGCATAAATATTGCTACAGGGCGTCACGTATATATACACATGATTTTGCATTTCCCAGGTAGGGTGCGCTCACGCGCCCTACCCGCGCCGCCATTCACGGCCTCAGCTCAATCACCGGGTCCCAGCTGGTGATTCCCCGCCGGTACCCAGTGATTGCCGTGTATCACCAACGGGAGTGAGACTTGTGTATAAAGAACACAGATATCTCCTCTGTCAGCTCCTGCACACTTCTTTGAATGGCTCTGCATAGCAGAGCCATTCAAAGCAGTGTGCTTACAGTGTAAAGCACACACACAGTTAACCCTTTGATTGCTCCAAATGTTAACCCCTTCCTGCCCTGTGCTTTTTATTAGCACTGATCACTGTATTGGTGTCATTGGGAATATCAGTGACACCAAGTCAGTTGCCCCCAGTGTCAGAATACTCGCCACAGTCCCACTATGTCGCTGAATGCCGCCACTACTAGTAAAAAAAATTCAGCCATTTGTAGACGCTATAACTTTCACATATACCAATTAAATTACATGTATTAAGATTTTATTTTAGCAAAGACATGTAGCAGAATACATTTTGGCCTAAATTTATGCCGAAATTTGATTTTTTTAGTTTTTTTTACTGGATGTTTTATAGCAAAAAGTCAAAAAAATATTTTTTTTTTTTCAAAATTGTCAGTTGTTTTCTGTTTATAGCGCAAAAAATAAAAACCGCACAGGTGATCAAATACCACCGAAAGAAAGCTCTATTCCTGGGGGGGGGGGAAAGGCATTTTTCATCTGTCCATTTACTGATGAAAAATGGACCCCCTTATTTCTATGGACTGATGTAAACGGATGAACATCTTTTTACATCCAGTAGCCTCCTTGACGGTATTCCCGAGTGTAGCTCGGGGTAAAGTTTCAGTACCAAAAGCGGTAACCCCGAGCTACACTCGTGCTTACCATGCGGCGCTGCTCCGGGATCTGTTCCTCACTTACCTTGTCCTGCTCTCCGCGATGTCCCTCCTGCAGTGTCCCCGGCAATGAAATCCAGCCGATGCCAGCATCTGTCATCTGGGTTCTGTCCCCTGCGAGCGTCGGGACATACGGGGGACGGAACGGCGGAAAATTTGAAAATGACAAAGTGACATTCACTAAATACACTAAAATCACATAGTAAAACATTACTGTACCAAACCATTTCACATACATTTTGTCCCTAGTGCTTTGTCTTGTGCCCTGCCTGCATTTTTACTATTCTTTCTGCCTGGAAACTGAGAAATGTCCATGGCGTCCAAAAAGCGTCCCTTTAGGTCAAAAGCGGTTTTAGACCAGCTAGAGAACAGCGATAGTAAATCAGAACTACTTGCAGAATTGAGTGATAATGATTCGTGGGGGAAATTCATCATCAGACACTGAAAGTGATTTTGCGACTTTGCTCAGTGATGTGCGAACTTGGCGCTATATTTCAAAATTCACTGTTTTTGGTTTGATTATATTATTGAATTAAATGTATTTTTTTTATTATATTATTTTTTTTATGATTATTTATTAAATTATAATTTGTGATTTCGTGTTTCAAATTTTATTCTACCCGGGATGTTTACTAGACTCTTGTTCAGACAGATTTCAGTGAGTTATTCCTAAAAATTACAGGCCTACAATAAAAAAAATACATATTTCCATGCAAAAAAAGTACCACTTTGAGCACAGAAATATGGACATAATCAGACCGCTAGGGAGGTTAATGTCCGCATCCGTTAACATCCGTTTTTTTGAACAGAAGAAAACCCTATTTTTCTTCCGCAAAAAAATCCCGGAAAGGGACAAAAAATGGATGTCAACAGATGTAAATGGACGAAAACCGGATGAAAACGGATTTAAATGGATGAAAAAACAGAAACTCATCCGTTTTTACTTTGAAAAAACATGACTGAACGGAAGAAAAAAAACTGGAACGCCCGTGTGAAAGGACCCTAACTGAGGCCTTACAGGGAGAGTCTTGTCCATGGCCAATTTTGCCTCATCTTTGAAGTGACTTCATGAATAGGACTCCTGTCAGAGTTGTTCCTGCTGTAGGGACTCTGAGCTGCCCAGTTAGCAGATGAAACCGATGTCAGTCAGACCTCAGTACGCCATGACGATGTGAGAGAAAGTCTGAGGTCAGCTGTTCTTGAGGGAAGTGTGAAGGCCCGGTGTTTTCACGTGATACCCATCTTGCCGCTACACCGGCACAAAGCCTTACGGTTACCGGCTGTGGTTGAAGCTTGTACTTCCCCACTGCTTTTCCTGTGTTATAAATATTGTCAGGGACGGGATATGGGCTCATGTATGTCCCAGCCTACCCGCCATACACAATATGACCAAACACGTGAGGGCATGCCCGGAATAAAGATGTCTACAGAGCAGAACAGTCTCCTCCTCTGACCTATAAGGAGGCGGAACAGGCTGTTTCCAGGGTAACGAGAACACGCTCAGCACTGGCGCTGTCCTGTATAAGGAGCCTTAGCCATGGAGTTCGATCTGCGGGAATATTTTCGGGCGGCTTTCGAAGACAAGCTGCTAGTGTGAGCATACCTTCATGTGACTGTGCCTGTGTGTCCAGACTTCTTCCCGCTCTGTCTGTCCCCCCCCCTCCTCCTCTGTCTGCTCCCCCTGTGTCCGGCTTCCTCCTCTGTGTGCAGATATTTCAGCTGCTGATCATCAGAGATCCAATCCTGTATCTTCTGTAATTAGTAGCTTCTAGCTAAATGACTTGGATCTCTTAGTTCATTTTAAAGCAGAGCTCCACCTAAAAGGGGAAGTTCAGCTTTAACACTCCGGTCACATCAGGTGTGACTTGGCATGCGATTTCCATGCCCTGCGACTTGCACATCGTATGCCAAGTTGCACCCTATTGTCTGCTATTAGAGTGGTCATATCGGTGCGGTTCCACCAATTTCTAAAGTAGTGCATGCATTCGTTTTGTTGCGGTTTGCATAGACATCTGTGTCAGACGTCTTGCAAATCGCAACCGAAATTGGCATGTCACCTGATTTTGAATCATGCGACTCAGTGTAAGTGACGGGTGTTAGGCCTCATCCCCTGCTCTCTGTTAAGGATTGGCATCTGTGGGGAGCGAGTACCCAATTTTGATAGGTACCCATGTCCACTGCGATTGCCTAGTTCCCCCCCCCCCCCCCCCCCCCCGAAGTCTCATGGGACATGTGACAGGTCCCAGAGGACTGCAGAACCATTCATAATGTGCAGTTCATGCGCAGTGGGCACCCGGCTGTGAAGCCGCAAGCTGTCACAGCCAGGTGCCCACACTTAAGATGCCGGCGCAAGGGACACAGGACTGCTGTGAACCGGCTGCAGTAAGAACACCGCTGGATCTTAGGACAGGTAAGTGGCTGGTTTTTAAAAATCAGCAGCTACACTTTTTGTAGCTGCTCACTTTTATTTTTTTTTCACCAGAGACAGGAGGTCCGCTTTAAGTACCACAGACAGCAAAAAGATATACAGCATCTTATTGTTTACTGCGTAATTAAAGTTCATGTATGGGCACATTTTATACGTTACAAAAATTATTGAAGAGTTTAAAGCAGAACTCCAGTCCACATATTTTTTTTACCATGCAGGGGAGCTGTGCCCACACCACATGGATCAGCTGCTTGTTTTTTCTAGGGGTGAGGACTAAGCTCATACTTACAGGTGAAACTCGAAAAATTAGAATATCGTGCAAAAGTTCATTTATTTCAGTAATTCAACTTAAAAGGTGAAACTAAGGCTACATTCACACTAGCGTTGTGTGCAGGTGGCAGAGAGGCATTTGGGAAGCGTTTTTACCGCTTCCCAAACGCCTCTGACAATTCTGCACATTGCAGCACATGGTGCTGTTCTAACGGGAGCGTTAGCATTGCATCACGGCAAAACGGACGCCTCTGGTCGAGTCAGGAGGCGTTGAAGCCTCCTATTCTAGCCTGGCGTTTGTGGTGCGGTTGCGACGCTGTTGTGGGGTGTTTGCGGAGCGGTAACATCATTTAAACTACATTATAGGCGTTTGTGGGCGTTTTTAGCACTCGGCAAACGCCTAGCAACCGCCGCTAAAACCGCGCATGCGGCGTTTGCGGAGCATTTGCCGAGCGTTAAAAAACACTCCGCAAACGCCAGACCAACGCTTGCCAAACGCGATATAGGGGCGTTTGGCAAGCGTTGGTAAAACAGTCAAGTGTGAACGAGCCCTAATATATGAGATAGACTCATTACATGCAAAGCAAGATAGTTCAAGCCGTGATTTGTCATAATTGTGATGATTATGGCTTACAGCTCATGAAAACCCCAAATCCACAATCTCAGAAAATTAGAATATTGTGAAAAGGTGCAATATTCTAGGCTCAAAGTGTCCCACTCTAATCAGCTAATTAAGCCATAACACCTGCAAAGGGTTCCTGAGCCTTTAAATGGTCTCTCAGTCTGGTTCAGTAGGAATCACAATCATGGGAAAGACTGCTGACCTGACAGTTGTGCAGAAAACCATCATTGACACCCTCCATAAGGAGGGAAAGCCTCAAAAGGTAATTGCAAAGGAAGTTGGATGTTCCCAAAGTGCTGTATCAAAGCACATTAATAGAAAGTTATGTGGAAGGGAAAAGTGTGGAAGAAAAAGGTGCACAAGCAGCAGGGATGACCGCAGCCTGGAGAGAATTGTCAGGAAAAGGCCATTCAAAAGTGTTGGGGACTTTCACAAGGAGTGGACTGAGGCTTAGTCAGTGCATCAAGAGCCACCACACACAGACGGATCCTGGACATGGGCTTCAAATGTCGTATTCCTCTTGTCAAGCCACTCCTGAACAACAAACAACGTCAGAAGCGTCTTACCTGGGCTAAAAAAAACAGACCTGGTCTGTTGCTCAGTGGTCCAAAGTCCTCTTTTCTGATGAGAGCAACTTTTGCATCTCATTTGGAAACCAAGGACCCAGAGTATGGAGGAAGAATGGAGAGGCACACACTGCAAGATGCTTGAAGTCCAGTGTGAAGTTTCCACAGTCTGTGTTGATTTGGGGAGCCATGTCATCTGCTGGTGTTGGTCCACTGTGCTTCATTAAGTCCAGGGTCAACGCAGCCGTCTACCAGATTTTGGAGCACTTCATGCTTCCTTCTGCAGACGAGCTTTATGGGGATGCTGACTTCATTTTCCAGCAGGACTTGGCACCTGCCTACACTGCCAAAAGCACCAAAACCTGGTTCAATGACCGTGGGATTACTGTGCTTGATTGGCCAGCAAACTCGCCTGACCTGAACCCCATAGAGAATCTATGGGGCATTGCCAAGAGAAAGATGAGAGACATGAGACCGAACAATGCAGAAGAGCTGAAGGCCGCTATTGAAGCATCCTGGTCTTCCATAACACCTCAGCAGTGCCACAGGCTGATAGCTTCCATGCCACGCCGCATTGAGGCAGTAATTGCTGCAAAAGGGGCCCAAACCAAGTACTGAGTACATATGCATGCTTATACTTTTCAGAGGTCCGATATTGTTCTATGTACAATCCTTGTTTTATTGATTGCATGTAATATTCTAATTTTCGGAGATTGTGGATTTGGGGTTTTCATGAGCTGTAAGCCATAATCATCACAATTATGACAAATCACGGCTTGAACTATCTTGCTTTGCATATAATGAGTCTATCTCATATATTTGTTTCACCTTTAAGTTGCATTACTGAAATAAATGAACTTTTGCACGGTATTCAATTTTTTTGAGTTTCACCTGTACCTGACCCACCAATCCTCCAGAAAACTGCACTCCCCCACGGTCCAGCAGTGGACTGTTCCTGTCTATGGAGTGTCTATTTACAAGACTGCTGGACCGCAGGTGGGGGGGGAGTAGGAGCCGAAAGGACCGTTCTTGTGCTGGGAGGATTGGCGGGTCAGGCGAGTATATCTTCGGTGTCCTCTCCCCTAGAACAATACGAGTATTTGACCTGTGCAGTCCTGGCACAGCCTCTGGTTCACACAGAGTCTCTTCTAGCTCTTTTTGAATCAGCTGCCACTGAGTCAAGCTTTATTGCTGCACTTAGATGGTGCTGCGTCTCTCTTTTTTACTATGTGGAATGTATACTACGTTAACAACATAAGTTGCAGGTTCTGCTCTTTTTCCCCCTTTTTCTTGCTGTGGCACCCAAGGCAGTCACCTCTTCTACCTACCCCGCTTAGTCCGTCCTTGGATTCAGAGGTATAGACCAATACTGGTCCTTTATCCTGATGTACAATCTCTATGACCAGTGAAGAGGCTTGAGATGTGGATGGGCACAGCTGACATTTACAGGAAATTTCAAGATTTGCAGTTTTCTGAATATACTAATCATTTTGACTTGTGCTTTTCACTGAATGCATGCTCTGCTTATGCTGTTTTTTTTTTTTATCATCGATTGCCTAGGTTTGTGATAGGCTCAGTTTTCATATTGTACTCTGGCAGAAATACTGATGTAATCACTCAGAATCCTTTTTTTTTTGCATGTGACTCCTGTATATCTGTTTAGAATAGTACCAGTTAGAATGTTCACTAAACAGAAGATTTCCTCTACTATGTATAACAGGCGAATGCCAGATCGGGAGGATGATTTCCTAACTCCAGCTACCCGTCTTCTAGAAAAGAGACGAGAGATGATTGAAGTTGAGCAAGCTTTAAATACACAGAAAGAGGTGGAGCCGAAATCTTTATTCATTTGTTTTTTATACCACTATACTGTATTATTTCTCTACGTTTATTTATCTTGGGTTTTAGCTTTCATTTTGGAAGCGCCACTCAATGTTGTGTGAGTGTAATTCTGGCTATATATGTAATCTTTTTTGTATGGCCAGTGGGCTGAACAAAAAAAAAAGCTAATAGATTCCTCCATCCTCACAAAAGAGGTGGATGGGGAAATCTCCCTAACAGGATACTGTATTCTGACAGCTGAACCTGCTGCTTTCAGAATTCACTGGTCAGCGGCTGCAGATGCTGATTGAGAAAAAATTTCCCACATGCCTCTTCAAGCGGTTAACTTCTGTCAAATGAAGACTGCCACACACAGATAGAAATTTGGCCAGACCCTGCTAAAATGGTCATTTTTTTGATGAGCGTATGGCCAGCTAAAACCACAAATCATTAAAACTACTGTAGGTTTTTGTCCACAGGCGCATATCTTAGGTGCATCTATAAGCCTTAGTAAAGGAAGAATGTATGTTGGAGTGCCACAGGGGCAGTCAATATTTTATCAATTCTGTGCATGGCCAGTGCAATATATTTTAATTGTACATAATACTACCATAAAATAACATTGTACTTCTGCTAGTTTACCCTTCCACTTTATTACAGGAATTCCAAATGAAAACAGAGAGCCTTCAGCAGCGTCGTGCAGAATTGGAACACAAGGAAGAGAAACTTAAGGATTCGTTGTTTAAATTTGATAAGTTTCTCAAGGTAGAGTCAAGCTTCTTGGTCAATACATTTGTCAATATTCATCAACAGCAACCAGTTAGTGATGGATATCATGATGATGGTGTTTTATTGTCTTTATTGTTTATTGTTTTATTGTAGTATTTTAAACATTTGCTATCTGAAAAAAAATCTAAATACAAAAGAGAAATCTGTCAGTAGTTTTATTTGTTCAAACATTCTATTTGAACAAGGATCCCACCTGAACGTAAGTGCCTAGTGTTTGCATGATTCATCCCTGGCAATCCTTGATTTATGAGTTCTCTGATCTTTAATATGAATAGTGTGTGCTACACAGACCCTTGTATATTTCTCAATTAATGAAATATCAGTTCCAGACTGATTCATCCTTACATGGTAATTCATTTTGGTACAGAATGGAGCAGCAGCATGCCGTGCACTAGAAATATTGCTACGTCTGGGTCTGTGTCTTTCCCAAAGTCTAAACATGACTCTACAGTAACATGAAGTATTCTACCCTGGTTTATACTGTATATTGCCCATGGTAGAACCAGAGTGGCTCTCACTTACACTATGATTGGCCAGTGATCATGTGAAAAAGCTGTAATTTTGTACTTTTGTCATTTTTATACTTTACCAATTTTGGGCCTTATAGGTTTGTTACTGCCAATGAATAACACATGTAGGGTAATTATGCAAACCATTGAGTTGGTTCTAAAGGCCCAAGGTTTTTTACCTTCATGCATTCTATGCATGAAGGTGAAAAACCTTCAGTGTGTAGCAGCACCCCCAGCCCCCCTAATACTTACATGAACCTCATCTCGATCCAGCGATGTGCAAAAGAGCAGCGGCTCTCCTGGGTCTTTCTCCTCATTGGTTGAGACAGCTCCCTCTACTGTCAATCACAGCCAGTGAGTCAATGAGGAGAGGGGGGGGGGGATGATCAGGACTGAGCCGCACTCTGTGTGTGAATGGACACACAGAACAGTGGCTCGGGAACGAGCCTGCTCAGGTGCCCCCAATGCAATTGGCTTGCTCTGGAGACACCCAACAGGAGTGAGTGGCCAGGAGTGCTGGCGGGGAACCTGAAAAGAGGAGAATTGGGGATGCTCTGTGCAAAACCACTGCACAGAGCTGGTAAGCCTGCCTTTAATATCACTTTAAGTTTTAGGGTGTATTTGTACAACTGAAGACCCAAAAGAAAAAAAATCACTTAAAGTGGAGCTCCACCCAAAAGGGGAAGTTCCGCTTGAAGGCTTTGTCCCCTGTTCCCCATTAAGGATTGACACCTTTGGGGAGCGAGGGGGGTTCCCAAATTTGACAGGTCCCCGCTCCCATTTCTGTTGCGATCTCCTAGGCAATCGGAAGCGGAAATTGTCCCCCCCTCCTGTAGTCTTCTGGGACATGTGACAGGTCCCAGAAAACTAAGGGACCATTCACAAACTGTAGCGCTACTGGTGCATGCGCAGTGGGTACCCGGCTGTGAAGCTGCAAGCTGTCACAGTCGAGTGCCTGCACTGAAGATGCCAGGCCCGAGGAGACAGGACGGTCGGTCAGCCCAGCCAGTGTGAGGACACGCGGGATCGAGGGACAGATCAGTGTCTATTTTTTGAGCCCTGGTTCACAGTGATTTGGTGTGGAATTCGCAGTGTTTTCAGTGCGAATTCCGCACCACACCAGAATCGCACCCGTTCATGCGAACCGCTGTGGGTGTGTATGTTAACAACACCCAAAAAGCGGTCCGCAAAACACGGTGTGATATGCAGACTCGGATCACATAGGTGCGAATACCTATGCAATCCGATTCTAGTGCGGACCCAAAAAAGGGTCCTGCACGTTTTTGGTGCGGTTGCGGTGTGAATAGAGCCATACAAAATGTATGGCTACAATTGCACCGCACACAAATTGCAAGTGATTTTCACAGGAATGCGGTGTTGTTCCTGTGCAAATCACATGGGATATACCGCACCGCAGATATGTGAACCTAGGATAAAAGTCAGCAGCTACAATTTTTGTAGCTGCTGACTTCTATTTTTTTTTAATTCTCACTGGACCTCTGCTTTAAAGGCAAAAAGGAAAAAATAGTCAATACATACATGAAATCGTTCATTAATGAATGCATATTGATTTATGCTGTTGCTAATGGTGTGCATTTAAAAGTATATATATTTTTTGCAATGTTAAGTCTTTCCATATTTGTTTCAACACGAAATGAAATGTATTTCCTTATTTTTAAACCAAGTGATAAGCATAAATCGTCAGTAACACAATCCAGTTTAATATGCCTGTAGACACGACAAACAGTTAAATATGTTTAGAGGTTATCTGGACAGCAAAAAAAATGCTGTTTGTGTCTAGTACATGTTTCTTTTTTTCCCCAAACCAAAATGAATAAAAAAATGTATCACTTCAAAAACAAACAAAAACAATGTAATTTTTAAATGCACAGTGGTGCTATAGAGTTAGTAGCAGTCCGCACATTGGAAGATGGCAACATTTGCTGTGGTCATCAAGGCTAATGTAATGGGTTAGGTAATGAACAGTGAATCATAAAAAAATTTACATTTTAAAGCAGTCAGTAATAACTAAATGAAGGACCAGTGTGTTTTCATCAAGTTAATAGTGTTGCAAGGATCTGAAAAATAATTACTGTACCTGGAAAAAAAATGCTAGAGAGTTAAGAAGGCCACAGATGAGTTGAAAACCGAACGTTCTGCTGGTCGAAAAACGAAAAGAGCTCAAACATTTGTGCCTTCCTTTTTTCGTTTTTGTAAAAAAAAAAACCCAGCATTTTGGATCAGGCACTTTGGATTGCAGCACGAAAATCACGTGACGCAACTGGCACACTAATGATGCAAAAAAAAACCCAAATGATTTGATGATCAACACAAATTTCATTTAGTTTTCCACTCATCTATGGCCGGTTTTATGGGATCTTCCATGATGTGTGCCACTGTCATTGTTCATAAAGAGACTTGTTATTTCTATAAAAAGATGGCACATGCCACCTTTCTATACCTCATGCTTTGATTTTCTGCAGGAAAATGACTCAAAGCGTAAACGCGCACTGCGAAAAGCAACTGAGGAGCAACAGCTGGCAGCTCAGAAAGAAAGGGAAGCCATACGTTTACAGGTGAAAAACAAGCAGCTGCAAGTATGTAAGGAGAGACTGCTGCGTAGACAAGAGAAAACCAGTATATACCAAAACTACCTGCAGAGAGTACTGGAAAGGACTGAAGAGGTATGGATGTTATGCTGGCATTCTGATGTTCACTTTATGGTGAACCATCTGCCTAAACAGAGCCGTGTCATATCCTTTTCATTGTCTATTATGTTACTTATAAAACTCATTTACACCTGGCCATAAAATGACAGTGACAGATCTGGCCTTTCTCTACATGCATGTAGTGGCAGGACCAGGGTCGGACTGACAACTCATGGGGCCCCCGGGCAATAGGGGATCATGGGGTCCCTGTGTTCTTGCCCAAACTCAAAAAAGCCTATGAAAAAGGTACCAGGGCATCTCATGGGGCCCCTTACTGACCTCGGGCCCTCAGGCAGTGCCTGAGTTTCCAAATGGTCAGTCCGCCCCTGGGCAGGACATGCTTCTCTGCCCCCCTGGTGTTGGATTAAAAAAAGGCTCATGGTGGCAGTGTTGGTTCTGCTGTGTACAGATTTATGAAATGTCACTTAGTTGATATTTCTGATAAGCATTGTGATGTAGCCCCTCAAAAGCAGCCCTTGTGTACCTTGGATAGACAACATCACCAAGCAGGTAGTGCTCATGAAAGTGCTCATTAAAAGGAGCTCCACAGGTATTATGTTAAACTTTAATGCTGGTTATTCAAAATGTAAGGTGTTCTTGCTGTCCTTTGAGATGCATATGAACTTTGATGGGCACTTTAAATTTAAATACACGTCATTTGATTTGTGTCCACAAATAGAATTATGGGAAATATAATGTTTTTCAAACACTATTTGTTGCTGTATTTCTCTCTCTAGTTCCAAGAAGTACAGGAAATGATAGACCGGTTCAACACCTTAATGGCTACGCAAGACAAGTTGCTAAAGCGGGAGCTTGAAAATCAGGAGAATACTGAAAAAGAAAAGGCACGACTGCTGCATTATCAGGAGGAAGCCCGCAGCCAGATCCTGGAGCTCAATAACCAGCTGGCTGATCTACAAGAAGAGCTGGAGAGAGCAAGAGCTATAGAGCTGGAATGGGTATGATTGTTCCTAGCTTTGCACTGGGAATCTTTACAACATGCTTACAAAGAATTTCTACTCAAATGAAATATTTAGTAGAGTTTATCTAACAGCCTCATTGTGTATGGAATGGCTGTAACATGGAACTCAAAGCCAAAGGGTAAAATATATATAAATAATTTGATGCTAATGTTGAAGTCATCAAGAAATCTAAAAATCACATAGATGACTCACCTAACTTGCATGTATACAATGAAATTAATAGGATTATTGAACTCACCTTAAAATCTCTTTCATGAAGTTCACTAAAGGACACATGTCCTGCCTCTCTGTTTTGATAATCAAGCTCTTGATACTGCTTTACTACCAAACCATGGCATGCTAGCAGTAGGAGGAGTTTTACTCAGGACTGACCTACATTTTTTTTGCCAGTGTCTAGTCCTCCTGTAAGGGGCACTATAACCCAAAGGTTTCAGAAGTTCCGTTCCTCAGTGGACCCTGAGAAAATGATTTTATGATGAGTATAAAAATCCTTATATTTTTATTCTCCTGTCCATTAAGGGACACAGGACTAAAACCATGCACAAATGCAGTCTGACTGAGCGATGGGCAACACAGCTAACCAGCCCATCGAGGACAAGGAGCTGCCTACAGCTCAAAGAGACACCTGAATGGCCTTACGCCTGAAGCTAGCATAAGATGAGGCAAAAACATTTATCTGGTAAAACTTAGAGAATATGTGAACAGAAAATCAGGTGCACACTTAAAAACCTGGGAGACAGAGGCATGATGCCAAAATGCCCTGGTTGGGTGAGCCTTAATTGAAAAGGGGGACTGTGATCCTTGAGACAAAAAGCAAGAATGTTGGTCTGCGTGAGAGACGTAGAAGTGGTGGAACAAGAGCCCGAGTGCCTTTCCTGTGCCCATTTAAAATAATAAAAAGGGAATCTGCTTTCCAAAAATAAAGCTGTGGCTGAGAGATAAGCTCACACAGCCCGAACAACATCCAGATAAAGGAGAAAAACCTCCTTCTAGTGAACCAGAGCAAGATGTAGAAAAGCAGTACCTTCATTAAGGTTAAAGGCAGATGCCACCTTACAAAGTAAAGAAAGCCTAGGTCTCAACACCGCTTTGTCCTGAAAAGCAGGATTAAAAAGGATTTCTTGCAAAATAAGGCTGCCAGTTCAGATGTTTGCATAGCTGAAGTGATAGCTACTAGGAAAAATAACCTGGTAGTCATAACAGAGAGAGGAATGTCTCTGGTAGGTTCAAATGGGAGCTTCTGAAGTGCAGAGAGGACCAAATTCAAATCTTATGGAGGCAGAGGAGATTTCACCAGGGGAACCATGTGGGATACCCCAGCAGAAAAGTTTTTGCTCATAGAGCAGGACTCTGGAACACAAAAGCAAGTGCATAAATCTGGCAGTACTGATCCCATACAGCTACTATTGCATCCACCCCTTCAGGCAGCAGAACCTCAGACCTGGACACAAACAAGTGCAGTTTGTTGTTGAATCTGGAGGCCAAGATGTCCACATTCAGGGTCCCCCCACTTGCAACAGACTTCTTGGAACACCTCTAGTATAGAGATAACTCTACCAGGTCCAGACATTGTTGGCTGAGAAAATCTGCCTACTAATTATGTCCATGTACAGCTGACAGCTGGAACATGATGTTCTGCCCAAGATAGAGTTTGCTTTACCCCATTTTCTGTAGTGACTGCTTTTTCATCCCTCATAATTGATCTACAGTACACAGGCATTGGCTCACTGGATCTGGATCAGGTGACTCTGGTCAGTCCAATGCTGAAGGGAAAGACAAAAAACAAAGCATCTGAAGCTCCAAGATATTGATTAGGAGCGAGATTTCCCCGGCAAACAAGTTCTCTGCATGACACAGTACCCAGGGCTTCCTACCATACTGACAGGCTGGTGTCCATCATCAGGATCTTTCAGAATATAGGAAGGAACGATTTACCTAATATCAGAGCTGGATCCCAAAGCCACTAAGACAGAGACAGCCTGGTCAATGGTGTTAAAGGAATCAGCTTGTCCAGAGACAAGGCTGATTTGTCCCACAAGGAGAGACTGACCTAAGAGGGACAGGGGCTTTTAGAGGGGACTGCAGGCGCTAGCCTCTTGCCAACTGACCATGGCCCTGGCATCTGAGAGGGCTCTATTCTTTGGGAGGTGTGTGCCTAGGGGGACCTTTTGGAGTAGTTTACTTCAGTTTCAAGTCCATGTAACCCCGTAAAACACAGACTCTGAGAATTGAAGGACCAGGATACAGTTTTGGGGTCTCTGTGCCCAAACCAGCATTGACGTCTTCAATCCCTCCCCCCCTTCCTAGCTTCAGATGTTGATATATTAAGCTCAAAAACAATCTGATGCTGAGGACTCTTGCTCTAATCTGTTTATTAAGATGGGATGTGTTTACTGTCTTTCTACCATTGTGTGCCTCCACGATTTGCATTCCCATTGTTAATTGAGTTAATTGAGTCACCTATTGTTTCTGTCTGTCTGCTAGTTCTCCTGGAGATGAGATTAGTATTATGCCTACTTCACCTTGTTACCAAACCATTGCGGGATGTTTATCCTAATGTATATTTGTTTTTATTGTTCATGTGGGGACTGCCCCTATTCCTGAAATGTATAAAAATCGGTATCGGGTGATATCGAAGAAGTGTTCCAGGAGGCGGTCGCCATGGAAGCGGAGTTCCAGTGGTGTATGCAAGAGAATATTGCCATGTATGGAGAGTCTGGTTCTACACAGGACATGCTGGAATTGAGAGACGTGATTCGCTGAAAGGCTTTGGTTGGAGGCTCTCCAAGTGGAGCAAGACTATTATGGAAAGATTCTCCCTACATCCCTGGCTGCACTTGGACTTGCATATACCATTCCTAGGAGATAATCCTCGGAAGGAGTGGATGATGAAGCTGTATAGGTTGGTTCAGACAGAAATGGTGCTAGATAATGGTTATCGGGCGTTGCAATGATACGCTACCCAAGTGTGTCCGTGGCTAAGAACAGCAATCCAATAGAAGGCTATGACTACAGTGGCCCGGGATTAATATTTGAGATGCTTCAGGAGGATCCACATTTTGGTAGTGGAGCGGAGCGGAGATGAGAGGACATCCAAGATTTTAGGGAGTTAGACCTTCCCAGTGAGCTCGGATTAAGAAGTGACTTGGACTATAGTTACACAAGAATGGGAGCTGGAACAAGCATATAAAAGACTGTTTGACGAAGCTCAACAGTATGCCCCAGCACCAGGGGTGGACTGACAACTCATGGGGCCCCCGGGCAATAGGGGATCATGGGGCCCCTGTGTCCTTGCTCACACTCAAAGCACACCCAAAAAAGTCTATAAAATAATTTCATGGGGCCCCCTACTGACCCTGGGCCCTCGGGCAGTGCCCAAATGCTCGAATGGTCAGTCCGCCCCTGCCCAGCACTCATGGATGTTATGGATTACGAGTTACCCACTGAAGTGCTGCCACTGGGCCCAAGTGCTGCCAGATTGTGCCTTGAATTGTCAGCAATTCCAGAGACTGGGGATTTAATAGACTTTTCTGCTAAGGAGGAACAACCCAGTGAGCTTTCAGCAGAAGAGCTGGCATCAAGGCAGAGTGCTGTTGACCTCCTGCCTACAACAATCAGTGGTCCTGGAGGATTTGTGCGAGGCCACCGAATTTTCATTTTGTTTCCCAGTGGAGGAGCTGGCATCAGGGCAGAGCACCACTGACCTCTGTCTAGCACCAACAGCACTTCCAGAGCTCCAGGGAGCCAGGGTGGGCAGCCCTTCTCCCCTGCAGCAGGCCGATACAGTGGAACTCCTAACCCCAGCTGAAGTGCTAGCAGCTGGATTGAGGGTTTGTACAGAGATGATCCTCCTTCACTACCTCCCTACCCCCAATGACCCCAAAAAAAACAAAAACAAAGTGGCCGCAGACATCTAACTATATTCCGAAATAGTGAAAAACAATTAAAGGCGTGAAAGGGTGCTGCGCTACTTGAATGATCAGTGAAACATAAATTACATAAACTGAATGTAAATATGTCCCTCTTCCAAGTGTAAACATAACATATAGAAACATGAATGGGTGCAAAAAATACCACGTGACAGTAACAGCCGCAAAAAAGGCTATAAAGTGCTGGTGACACAGGAGAATAAATCAATAATGCTGATGCATATTATGAAAAGTGACTCAGTCCCCCCCCCCCCAAAAAAAAAAAAACAATTAAAAACTAAGTGACTCAATACTAAAAAAGATAAATCAATAAGTAACTCAGTCCCAGAAATCTTCAGTGTACGCTGTGAAACATCCAGTGCTGCAAACATATACGGAAAAATCCTCCACCAGCTAGCGTGCGCGCTCACCTTCAAAATGCGACCCACAAGGAGTCACAAAGCATAGAACACCTCAAATGATGATTCCAAGAAATTGGTCCTCGATGCAATCAGAGAGCAAAAGGTCATCAGCAACAGCGCTGACAAACACTCATAAGCATGCTCCAGAAATGGCCGACTGAGTCACTTTTTGACTCAGTCGGCCATTTCTGCGAAGTAACAAATAATGATGTCTGCTCTTTAGGCTGGAGTACTCTTCCCCCCAGTAGAATCCTTGATGATGGCCTTCAGAGTCAGTCCTGAGTTGCCCCTCAAAGACCATGTGGACCACTGTCCAGCACTTTAGTCACAGAGCCCTGTGTATATGTACTGACTGGAGACTAATGTGAGACAGAAGACAGGAGTTTTCTAACTACCCATCAAAGCTGAAGTTCAGAGCCAGGCACATCAAGTCCACACAATCCATGATCTGCTGTTCTATGTCCGCATCAATTAGATCCTATTTAAGGGTTCTGAACCAGTCATATGTAGCTTGGCAGATGAGATCTACAACCAGAAGATGATGTAAAGCAGAGACTGCTAAAGTGAATATGGCCCTACAAACAGCTTCCAGCCTCTTATTGGTGGGGTCCTAAAAGGAAGGGTGTCCTCCATTGGTATAGTAGTTGTCTTGTTAGGGCGAGAAATAGCTTGTTCCACAGTAGGAACAGACCACTTTGTGACATAAACTACTTGCTGCGCAGGTAGGTAAATTAGCTGGATAATCTGGGACAAAGTCCTGTATAATGTAGTAAAGACCTCTGCAAAGAAGAGGAACAGGCACAGCTACACCCAACAGAGCTAAGGAGGACTCTGACAGCTGCAGGCATTGTAAGCTTAAAGTATTTTAAGGCCTTTCCACTTACTCATGGAACCTAGACAGCTGGTAACTGGCAGAAAAGCTCAAGACTGAAGGGTCTAGTGGCCAGAGGCAACTAAGCACCACTGCAGGCAGTCAGCAGTAAAAGGTCAAAGCTCCATGTGACTCTTGCAGTAGGCAGGAAAGAGCCAGTGGAATGACATCAGCACTCTGAGAGTGTTAACACCCTTCGAAGCAGGCCAGGAGGAAAAGGGGAATAAGGTTTGGCACCTAATGCTCTAGACCTAAAGGTGCTCCAGAGCTGCATTAATCTGAACCAGTCTTAAAGTGGAACTTCACTCAATCAACATTGAATTTTTTAATCCTTATACTGCTAGCATTAGTAAATTGATAGGAAAGTATCATATTTACTTCTTTTCGACTTTTGTTTACATTTCTTCAGTTACTTTCTGGTTTCCAGGCCTAGGCAAATGATGCCATACATTCCAGAAGTCTTCAGGAGGGGAGGAGGATTTTTTTTTTTAGCTAAGCACAGCCTCCTACATGCATGCGTGAGCTAAGGGCAGATGGATTCTAGGAAGTAAATGCTACTTGAATCATCTGCCCTTAATCAAGATGGCCACAGCCAGAAATGCTGGCAGCGAGACATGAATACAGTTGCAAGAAAAAGTATGTGAACCCCTTGGGATTACGTGGAGTTTTGCATGAATTGGGCATAAAATGTGCTCAGAACGTCATCTAAGTCAAAACAATAGAAGAATACAGTCTGCTGAACATAATACTACACAAACATTAGATGTTGCCATGGTTTAATTGCACGTAACATGTAAACATTCACAGTGCAGGGAGGAAAAAGTATGTGAACCTTTGGACTTAATAACTGGTTGACCCTCCTTTGGCAGCAATAACCTCAACCAAACATTTCCTGTAGTTGCAGATCAGACCTGCACAACGATCTGGAGTAATTTTGGACCACTCCTCTTCACAAAACTGTTTCAGTGTAGCAATATTCTTGGGATGTCTGGTGTGAATCGCTCTCTTAAGGTCATGCCACAGCATTTCAATCGGGTTGTGGTCAGGACTCTGACTGGGCCACTCCAGAAGGCGTATTCTGTGCTGTTGCAGCCATTGTTTTGTTGAATTACTTGTATGCTTTGGGTCATTGTCCTGTTGCATCACCCATCCTCTGCAGAGCTTCAGTTGGCAGACAGATGGTCATACGTTTTCCTGCAAAATGTCTTGATAAACGCTGGAATTCATTTTCCCATCAATGACAACAATCCATCCAGGCCCTGAGGCAGCAAAGCAGCCCCAAACCATGATGCTCCCTCCGCCATGTTTTACAGTGAGGATGAGGTTTTGATGTTGGCGTGCTGTTCCTTTTTTTTCTCCACACATAGTGTTGTGTGTTCTTCCCAAACAACTCAATCTTGGTTTCATCTGTCCACAGTATATTTTGCCAGTAGTGCTGTGGAACATCCAGGTGCTCTTTTTGCAAACTTCAAACGTGCTGCAATATTCTTTTTGGACAGCAATGGCTTCCTCCGTGGTGTCCTCCCATGTACACCATTCTTGTTTAATGTTTTCCTTATTGTAGATGTGTCAACAAAAATGTTAGCATGTGCCAGAGATTTCTGTAGGTCTTTAGCTGACACTCTGGGATTCTTCTTTACCTCATGCAGCATTCTGCGTTGTGCTCTTGCAGTCATTTTTACAGGATGACCACGCCTAGGGAGAGTAGCAACAGTGCTAAACTTTCTCCATTTGTAGACAGCCTGTCTTACCATGGACACATGAACATCGAGGCTTTTGGAGATACTTTTGTAGCCCTTTTCAGCTTCATGCAAGTCAACAATTCTTGATCGTAGGTCTTCTGAGAGCTCTTTTCTGCGAGGCATGGTTCAAAACAGACAGTGCTTCTTGAAACCAGTAAACCCAAAACAGGTGTGTGTTTTTTAAGGGCAGGACAGCTGTCAGCAACACATCCGATATCATCACACTGGTTGGAGTCAAGGTTGGCTCACTCCTGGCTCCAATTAGCTCTGGGAGAAGTCATTAAGCTAGGGCCTCACATACTTTTTCCTCCCTGCACTGTGAATGTTTACATGTTATGTGCAATTAAACCATGGCAACATCTAATGTTTGTGTAGTATTATGTTCAGCAGACTGTGTTCTTCTGTTGTTGTGACTTAGATGACGTTCAGAGCACATTTTATGCCCAATTCATGCAAAACTCCACGTAATCCCAAGGGGTTCACATACTTTTTCTTGCAACTGTAGATGTCTAAGTTTGCTTTGAATATTAAAAATTAATTAACCTCCTGGTACTTTAAGGGTTTCAGAAACCTGGAGGTGGGGCAGGGTTTCAAAGGTCATGTGACTGCCGTGATTCGCCGTCACGGCGGTCACATGATCAGGAAAGGTCCCGATCGAAAGAGGAGATTGGGACCTTTCCGTGAGTACCAGACATGTGTGCTGGGAGCGGGCAGGGCGCACGCTCTCAGCACTTAATTGCACGCAAATGTGTGGCCGCTCAGCATCAAGGCCCAGACGCCGGGAGGCTGCACATTTGCTTGCGGCTGGCGTGAAGAGGTTAAATAGCGTTTTTGGTGTGTGGTGCTCAGATGTAGTGTAGTACCGCTTTAAATAAGCAGAGCTGCATAAAATACCTCAATCCTTCTAGGATACAAGCAAAACATTGAGGCATGCTGGTAGCAGGAGGGGTTATAATTCAGTTTCAGAACTCCTGTGTCTCTCAATGGATGAGAAAGAAATATACTTTCGGTGGACTGACATTTTAAAAGAGAAGTATGAGCAAACCTTTTTTGGCCATACTTCTTTTGTGGGTCACAGAAGTGCTCCTGTGACCCAGAGTTAGTTAATAGTGGGCTATTACCCACTATAAGTTGACATAGCAGAGCTGCTCCATGATCTGGAAGGAGCCTCTGTTCTGAGACATCTGAGAGCTGAGTGATCAGTGGTCATGTAATCGTTCCCGGTGTTAGAGCTGACGTGGGACAGCTACAGCATTGAGGTGAGTATGTGCGTTTTTTTTTTTTTTTTTTTTTTTTAAGTCCTTACTTCTTTTAAGCTACCACTGCCAGGTGATGCTCACACAACATGTACCAACAGCTGGATGTCATTCTCTTTTATATTGTGCCAAAAATGTTTAATTAGTAGGACAATTAATGCTTTCTAAAACACTCTGCAGGAGTCTCGATGGGCACAAATTCAAAACACCGCAGCTGAAAATACATTACGATTGGGTCGCATCAGAATGGCAACTCTGAATCTCTTCCAAATCATCACAAAGCAGATGCATATGAAGTCTGATGCATCTATAGAAGACACTGAAATGCAGCTTGAAAAGGTGAAGGTCCACCTAACACATTTTCTGATTGGTTTACAAATGATCACATAAGGAACGAGTTCAATCATGTCAAACCCTGGCATCCACACAGAACCAGTAACTTAGGCTGGCCATACATTAAACAGTTTTCTTTCGAATTTTGCTTTAGATTTACCAAAAATCATATAATAAAAGGTCAAGCCTAACAACACTTTCAATTGTATCCAGTTAGGCAGGCTCTTGCACTACGGGGTTGAAGGTAAATCTAAAGGAAATTGGGCAGAAATTGGACAGAAAATTGTATAGTGTATGACCAGCCTTACAGAAGGGTATATTTGTTGGTTAATTGGTCCTGTGTTAGATGTATTTATTTCAATAACAAGAAATGTTCTTCCAAAAAAGGAATGCTAATACTTTTTTTTTCATGCATCTAACAGCTAAATGTATACCTGAACTACAGTTTAATCCTCTAATCCAATTAAATCCTTAATGTTTAAATCTATGTGGTATGGAGATAAACAAACTGGACAATTAGCTGTGGCGTGTTTGTGTGTAGCTGCAGAAATGTTGACCCTGGATGCACACTGGCTGTGTCCAGGGTCAATGTAAGTTCCATGTGCATGTAACTGCTTGAATGAGTGGTTATATGTGAACAGGGCAGCAGTGGCTAAATGGTTAGCACTTCCGCCTGGCAGTACTAGGGTTGTTGGTTCAAATCTGAACCACGGCACCACCTGCCTGGAGATTGCATGTTCTCCCTGTGTCTGTGTGGGTTTTCTCCCACATTCCAAAGACTTGCTGGTAGGTTAATTGGCTCCTGTCTAAATTGGCAGCAGTATGTGAATATGAATGTGAGTTAGGGACCTTAGATTGTATGCTCCTTGAGGGTTAGGGACTGGTGTGAATTAACAATATATATATATACATGTAAAGTGCTCTGTATATTGATATATATAGCAATATAAGAACCTGTAATAAATGAAAAAATAAATAAACAGCAGCAGCACCTGCCATTTATTTGCACAGAGTACAAATCTGATAGCTGCTGCTGGCTGCGCACAGTGGGGTTGATTTATTAAACTGGAGAGTGCAAAATCTGGTGTGGCTGTACATGGTAGCCAATCAGCTTCTTACTTCAGCAAATGTTGTACTCTCCAGTTTTAGTAAATGAACCCCAATGTGTCCAAGCAACAACAACTACAAGGAAGAATCTGATTGTTTCTGGCAGCTGCCCTAAGGCCGCATATATTCGGCCATCTGAAGGTAGCCTTAATGGAAACTCCACCAGTTGCTGTATGCCCTTTGTACTTCTAAGCAGCAGATTAAAAGAATGCCAAACATTCCTATGCTTCATTGCCACATCCAATTAATACTAACATAACTTTCTTGTGCATTTAGATTAAGATCTGCTTTGTGGACCTTGATGCCATACATAAAGACCTAAAGAAGGCTGAAATAAATCCACAGACACCAGCCATGTCTTCTGCCAACTGACTGTATTCAAAAGCTACCCTTGCAGAACTCAAGTTTACCATGCCTGTTGCTGCATCACCCATTCCTTATTGTGTACTTGCCTAAAATGCAGCATTGACATTCTTCACAGAAGCACAAAAATAAATGAAGTAATGACCAAGAAGTCACAGCGGACAATGGATATAGAAAAACCTAGATTGAGAATGTTTGTATGTTTTTGCGCGTGTGTATGTGTATATAATAAAATATTATATACACACATTTTTATTATATTTATAATATATGTATATATATTTATTATACACACACAGCTTAGAGTTATCCTGTTTCCATGCACATTAGAAGCATATTTTATGCTCAAAGTTTAGAGGCAGGAAAAAAAAACTCTTCTGGTTTGCGTTTTTGATTGGAGCTTTCTGGCAAAAAAAAATGCTAAACTCTCTTGAACTCGTGTAAGCTGTGTACAAAAATACTCTATATCAGCATTTGTTTCTCCCAAGGGAACTGGCGTTTTTTTTAAGCCCAGTGTGCATAGAGCCTTAGGGAGACCCCCCCCCCCCCCCCCATTTGTCCTGTTTACCAATGTCATCAAAAGTGAAAGTAAGTAAATTCCGAATTTTGGGTTGACACAAGAAAAATAATAGAGGAAAAATCTTTCAATGGGGACACTAGGGGGTTTATTTACTAAACCTGGTTGACTCAGAAACTTGGGCACCTGTGCATGGTAGCCAGTCAGCTTCTAACCTCAGCATGTTCAGTTAAGCTTCAGCAATAAAACCTGGAAGCTGATTGGTTTTTATGCAGAAGTGGACAAGATTCTGAGTCAACCAGGTTTAGTAAATAAACCCCTAGGTGACATTCCAGGATTCCTCACTTTGGATTTGGCTATGGCACAGGAAGTGAAGGGAATTCTCCCCAGTGGGACACAGATGGCTAAAAAAACAAAAAGTACTGACAGTGGTTATAACCCTCCCTTAATCAAAAATGCAGGAAAAAAGTTTTACCTTTAGTTATACTTTAAAGTGACTGTAAACCTTCATATTCTTTTTTTGTTAAAATAAAAAATAAGTTCTACTTACCTGCTCTGTGCAAGAGTATTGCACTGAGGGGTCCCTTATTGCCTCTTCTAGGGTTGACTAGTACTCCCTGTTCCTCCTCCTCTAGACACACGCAGCACGTCTGAACCCCCAATGGCTCCTGCTGGTGTCAGCAAAGCCTGTGAGAGCAGGGAGAGAAGACCTGCAGCCTGGGCACAGTGCTGGATTGATTTGCATAACTGTTGGGGGGTGGGGGAGGTTTTTACCATAAGGCAAGGAATGCATTTAAGTAAAAAACCTCATTTTTCAAAAGTGCGATTCGCACAAGATTTAGCATCTTGAATGAGCTGCCCTACGTGTGTTTGTCTCCCAAAAAGAAGCTCCTGCTCCTTTTAATGCGACAAGCGTTGTGCGATTTTTAAAGGCACGGTTTTGCTGCGATTGCCGCATAATCCTTTTGCGTGACAGTTGCGTCAGAATCACATCGCATTTGGGGAGAGTTGTGCTGCAATTGCCATGCAATTTGGGATTGCATGCAGAATTGCAGCAATTCTGCCCGAAAATTAAATAGCAAGATGTAAACAGGGACTAGAGTTTAGAAACACTTGAAAACTACTGGCTAGAGATACACCTTAAGGCAAGTCAACCATATATTTATTTTATTTTTTTTAACTTGTCATCCTGAGGATTTACCCCCCCCCCCCCTTCTTGACCAGACCTTATTTGCATTTCTTTTTTTTAACTAACAATTGCGCGGTCATGCAACGCTGCACCCAAATGAGATTTGCATCCTTTTTGTCCCACAAATAGAGCTTTCTTTCGGTGGTATTTGATCGCCTGTGTGTTTTTTATTTTTTGCGTTATAAAAAGAAAGACCTACAATTTTGAGAAAAAAAAAAAAAATTTTTTTTGACTTTTTGCTATCAAACATGTCCAGTAAAAAAAATTTTTAAAAATCAAATTTCATCATAAATTTAGGCCAAAATGTATTCTGCTACATGTCTTAGCTAAAAAAAAATCCCAATACGTGTAAATTAATTGGTTTACATGAAAGTTATAGCATTTACAAATGGCGGTATAGATATTGGGATTTTTTATTTATTTTTACTAGTAATGGCGGCGATTGGTGACTTATAGTGGGACTGCGGCGGGCATTCTGACACTGGGGGAACTGACTTGGTGTCACGGACATCCCTAGTGACACCAATACAGTGATCAGTGCTAAGAAAAAAAGCACTTCCACTGTACTAAGGACACTAGGCAGGAAGGGATTAACATGGGGGGGGGGGCGATTAAAGGGTTAACTGATGTGCAGGGGGTGTTTTACTAGGGGGCAGTGTCTGTGTGTTTCATTGTAATCACACTGCTTTGCATCCAAAGCACTGTGCCCAAGCTGATAGAGAGAACTGTTAGTAAACAAAACAGTTCTCCTCCCTGTCGGAGATCCTCCAAAATCATCAGGCGCTGGCAAATAATCACGGCCAGGACCCGGTGATTTACAGCCATGGCTGCGAATGGCGACGCGGGTAGAGTGCGCGTGCGGCTCATGCTCGCCACCTACCCGGAAATGAAAAATTTTGTATATATGTGTGATTTTGCGCACCGGTGGCGCCCTGTAGCAGTATTTCTGCTATAGGGCAGTCGGGAAGCAGTTAACTCAGGAGCAACAGGGTTTAATTGTTCTGAAGCGCACAGCTGCTTCTATATGTCTAAAGAGTCATTTCTGATAGAGCATACATTTTAGCAGCCTTGGCTTGAAGGCTTCAACATATTTGATTCATTTTATGAAATGACTGTAAATAGCTGTTTTCTGAAAAACAAATGGCTGTCAAAATAGCATTTTGTGCATCTATATGAAAATGGATCGTATTTTATTAAAAAAACAGAATCTGTAGTGCCATCTGCTGGTGGCTTGTAGATTTGCTGTCCCATTTTTAAATCGATTGTAGCTTCAGATTTAATTTTTTTAACCACTTGCCCTCCAGAGGATTTACCCCCCTTCCTGACCAGGCCTTTTTTTTTGTGATACAGCTCTGCGTTACTTTAAATGACAATTGTGCGGTCATGCAATGCTGCACCCAATTGAAATTATAGAGCTTTCTTTCGGTGGTATTTGATCGCCTCTGCGTTTTTATTTTTTTGCACTATAAACTAAAAAGGACCGACAATTTTGAAAAAAAAAAACAATATTGTTTACTTTTTGCTATAAAACATAAAAAAAATTAAAAAGCTACTTTCGTCATAAATGTAGGCCAAAATGTATTCTGCTACATGTCTACAAATGGCGGTATATATACTGGAATTTTTCAGTTTTTTTTAATACTAGTAATGGTGGCGATCAGCGTCTTATAGTGTGACTGCGGGACTGTGGCACTAACTGCCACTGACATCCCCAGTGACACTAATACAGTGATCAGAGCTAAAAAAAGCACTGACTGTACTAATGACACTGCGCAGGAAGGGGTTAACATCTGGGGCAATCAAAGGGTTAACTGTGTGTTGTTTTGCTATGTGTGCTGTGTGTGTGATTTACTGTGTAGGCACGCTGCTTTGTATTGCTTTGCTATGCAGAGCAAAACAAAGCAGCATGCTGGAGCTGACAGGGTAGAGATCTGTATTGTTTACATACAGACCTGTCAGTGTTCTTCAGCGATCGCTGGGTGCCAGCGGGGAATCTCTGTCCGTGACCCAGTGATCGACAGCTGCAGTCACCAAAGGCGGCGCGGGCAGGGCGGCCATGCGTGTGCTCCCCCCTACCCAGGAATGCAAAATCAAGTGTATATATATATATGTGATTTTGCACAGCCCTGCTGCCCTGTATTAGTATTTGTGCAGAGAAGCGGTTAAATAACAAATATGGTATACTTATTTGCTCTGTGCAGTAATTTTCTGATCCTCCTCAGGTTCCCCACTGGTGCTCCTGGCTTCTCACCCCTGCTGAGTGCCTCCATGCAATAATCCCTCTGTTCTGTTATTATAAACCTATTCTAATATCAGCCAGAACTCCTATGTGTTTCACACACTAAACCAAATTAACCCTCAAAAATGAAACCCATGGAGTGCTACTATTATTATTATTATACAGGATTTATATAGCGCCAACAGTTTGCTCAGCACTTTACAATATAAAGGGAGACAATACAACAACTATACAGTTCAATACAAGAGGGTTAGGAGGGCCCTGCAATCCAGGATTTATTGTTTGCTCAGCACTTACAAATCTAAGACAATACAGTATTATACAAGAGGGATAGGAGGGCCCTGCTCCTTGGCGCTTATCTAAGAGTATTATTATACAGGATTTATATAGCGCCAACAGTTTGCTCAGCACTTTACAGTATAAAGGGAGACAATACAGCAACAATAATATACAAGAGAGTTAGGAGCAGGGGGGAGACCATTTCAACTCGGGCACAGCAAGGGGGCCCCAATACACCTTTTTCATATGAGTTTGGGCAAGAGGGCCCCATGATATTGCCCGGGGGCCCCATGAGTTGGTCCCTGCCCTGCTCCTTGGAGCTTACAATCTAAGAGTATTATTATACAGGATTATACTTTATATAAAGAGCAGCAACTATACCAACACAAGATGTTTGCTCTTGGAGCTTACAATCTAAGAGTATTATTTTTTTATTTTTACAGATATATAAGGGAAACATATATATTGTACACATCAGACCTCAAGGGGTGTACAGTTCAATATATATAAGATATATATAGGAGGGCCAGTTTGCTCCTTGGGAGCTTACAAGTTCTAGGAGCTCCTTATTATTATATTATTATATGGGATTTATATAGTGCCAACAGTTTGCTCAGCGCTTTACAATATACAGGGTTAGGAGGGCCCTGCTCCATTAAATTCACTGCTTCATATACAAACTTGTATAAGTTAAATTATATCTCACTTTTAAATGAGATTAAGGAGGAACTAAAGAAATTGGGAGGAAGTAACCCGTCTTGGATAGGGTGCATAAATCTGATGAA